CTGGTTTTGGTATTAAGGTTATGCTTGCTTCATAAAATGAGTTAGGGAGGATTCCATCCTTTTCTATGTTTTGGAATAGTTTGAGTAGGATTGGTGTCAGTTCTTCTCTGAATGGTAGAATTCTCCAGTGAAACCGTCTGGGCCAGGACTTTTTTTTGTTGTTATTTTTTGATGACCTGTTCAATTTCTTCTTCTGTTATGGATCTGTTGAACTTTTCCACATCAATCTGTGTTAGTTTAGGTAAATGGTGTGTTTCTAGAAATTTGTCCATTTCTCCCAGATTTTCAAATTTGTTGGAATACAGTTCTTCATAGTATCCTGATATTATCCTCTTTATTTCAGTTGGTTTTGTTGTGATGCCACCCATTTCGTTTCTTATTCGTGTTGTTTGTATTCTCTCCCTCTTTTCCTTTGTTAAATTTGCCATTGGTTTGTCAATTTTATTAATCTTTTAAAAAAAACAGCTTCTAGTCTTGTTGATTTTTTCTACTGTCTTTCTGTTTTCTGTTGCATTGATTTCTGTTCGAATCTTTATTATGTCCTTTCTTTTAGTGACTGTAGGCTTTTTTTGCTGTTCTATTTCTAATTGTTGGAGATGTTGGGTTAAGGGGTTGATTTTAGCTCTTTTTTCTTTTTTGTTGTGTGCATTTATTGCTATAAAGTTGCCTCTGATCACTGCTTTTGCTGTGGTGCAGAGATTTTGGTATTTTGTGTTTTCATCCTCATTTGATTCTAGGAATCTTTTAATTTCTTTTTTTATTTCTTTTATTACTCAGTTTTTGAAGAGGGTGTTGTTCAGTTTCCACATGTTCACTCTTTTTCTGTTGATCTTTCTATTGTTGATTTGTAATTTGATAGCATTGTCATCTGAGAAGATACTTGGCAGTATTTCAATGTTTTTAAATTGTTTAAGGCTTGCTTTATGGCCTAAAGTGATGTAGTGCCTAAGGTATTTGACTGATAACCAGAAGGCTGGTGGTTGAAACCCACCAGCCACTCCTTGGAAGGAAGATTGGGTGATCTACTTCCATAGTGGTACCTCCTTACAAACCAAAGGAAGGATTGCTATGAGTCGATCTGACTTAATGGCAGTGAGTTTGGTTTGGTTCGAGTTTTATGGTCTATCATGGAGAGTGTTCCATGTGCAGTGGAAAAGAATGTATTTTGTGCTGTTGTTAGGTATATTGTGCTGTTGTTAGGTTTTAGACATCTGTAGGTTATAGATGTCTGTAAGGTCAAGTTGGTGGATTGTATTGTTTAGCTCTTCTGCGTCTTTTTTGAGTTTCTTTCCAGTTTGTCTATCTTTCATTGAAAGTTGTGTATTAAAGTCTCCCACCATGACTGTGGAGTCATCTATTTGCCTTTTCAGCTGTTTTAAATTCTGATTTATGTATTTTGGGGCTCTTTTATTGGGTCCATAGATATTTCTTATGGTTATATCTTCTTGTTCAATTGATCCTTTAATCATTACATAATGTCCTTCCTTGTCTCTTATGGTGGTTTTTGTCTTAAAGTCGATTTGATCAGAAATTAATACTGCCAATCCTGCTCTTTTTTGGTTGCCATTTGCTTATTAAATGTTTTTCCAACAGTTTTGGTTACCTCTTTGCTGCTCTAACAGAAAATGCCACAAATGAGATTGCTTGAACAAACAGGAGTTTATTCTCTTACAGTTTTAGAGGCTTTAAGTCTGAGTTCAAAGTGCCAGGCTCTAGGGGTGAAAGCCTCTCAACCTTGGGCTTTAGCTCTACCTCCTGCTCCTGACCCACCAAAGCTAGAGGCTTTTCTTCACTCAGACATCTACTGGCTGCTGAGGTTGACAAGCCCAAGGTTGACAAGTAAAAAGGCACAGTCCCAATGCTACCAAACAACATGGCAGGCCACTAATTCAAGTCCAGTTGAAGTCCCAAGGTCATTGGCAGGCAATTAACAATGACTTGGCTATATGCAGAGTTCAAGCATGCCGAAAGGCTAGAGACCATTCCCAAAGCTGTTTTTTATATACTTAAAGCAGACCACATCCCTAAAGTAGCTACTCAGCTGTTCCAGTAGATTCCACAATGGATTTAATTACCAATCTCACCACATCCAGCTGCCCAGCCGTTCAACTAGGCCCAGACAAGTTGCCACATAGACTTAACTACCACACCAACACTTGATTTTTAGTCTCTTTTTCTTTGTCTTTTAAGCGTGTCTCTTGTAGACAGCATATTGATGGATTATGTTTTCTTATCCTGTCTGCAAGTCTCCATCTCTTGAGTGGTGCATTTAATCCATTAACATTCAGTGTAATTATCGACAAGCATGAATTGGTTGCCATCATTTTGTTATGTTTTTTTCATGCTGTTCATGGCTCCTTTTTCCATGTTATTTTCTGTGCTGAGTTCATTATGTTTATGAATTGTGTTACCATTTCCTTTGTTGCGATTGTTTTAGTCTTTGCTAAATATTTGTGCTTGTCCTCTTTATTGTGATGTGAAGGTTTATCATTTTTCTTGAGGTTACCCTGTGATTTATAATTTTCTCCCCAAGTTTAGAACAGTCCATTCTGTCTTGCAACTCTCTTGACTTCCTCACCATTTAGAAGTTCTGTAACTACACAATATTTTCCCTCTTTTTGGTTTGTAGTTGTCCTCTGTTGCCAATTGATGTCTCTGATTCCCTGTTTACAATCTTGTAAGCTTATTTTACTTTGTATACTTCCATAACTGTGTTGGTTTCTGGGTTATGTCATCTTGTGTATTAATGGTCAGTTGTTGTTTGTTCTTACTGGTTCTCTGTTCAAAGGACTCCCTTTAGCATGTCTCCTAAGGTTGGTCTGGTTTTAACAAATTCCCTTAATTTCTGCTTATCTGGAAGTCTCCTACTTTCACCATCATATTTGAGGGCCAATTTTGCCAGGTATATAATTCTTGGTTGGATATTTTTCTCTTTCAGGGTTTTATACATACCATCCCATTGCCTTCTCACTTGCATGGTTTCTGCTGAGAAATCAGAGCTTATTCTCATTGGTTGTCCTTTGTAAGTCACTTTTCATTTTTTCCATGCTGCTTTCAGGATTCTTTCTTTGTCTTTGGTTTTGATGAGTTTGATGATGACATGTCTTGGTGATTTCCTTCTGGGGTCTGCCTTGTCTGGGGTTGGTTGGACTTCCTGAATGGATATATTCTCATCTTCCATCATATCAGAGAAGTTCTCTTTCAACAAGTCTTGGGCAGTTTTCTCAGTGATTTTCCTTTTTTCTTCCAGTTCTGGAATTCCGATTACACATAGGTCATTCCTTTTGATGGTATCCCACATGAACCTTAGACTTTCTTCATTTTGCTTTGATCTTTTTTCTGATCGATCCCTTTCCGAAGAAGCATTCAGGTATTTGTCTTCAATTTCATTAATTCTGTCTTCCATTGATTCAATTCTGCTCCTTTGCCCTTTCAATATGTTATCTATTTCTGACAATTTAGTATTAATCTTCTGGATTTCTACCTGTAGATTTTGAATCATTTCTAATTTTTCATTTATTTTGTCATTTTGTTCTTGTATTTTCTTCCAAAATTGTTCCAGGGTTTTGTCTGTGTTTTCTTTAATTTTGTCAGTGTTTTCCTTGATATGTCTCTCAGTCCTTTGAAGATACCTAAATATAATTCTTTTGAATTCCTTATCAGGGAGTTCCAATGCTGCTTCTTTCTCAGGGATGTGTTCTGGGTCTGTATCCTACTCCTTTGTTTCTATCACTGTATCTTGCTTCTTTGTGTGGACTGGGATGGTCTGTTGTCTTTGAGACATTGTTATGCTGATGTTGTATTTAGATCTCTGTTAACTGGTTGTGAAGAGCAGCTAAGGGTGAGTCAGGCTCTTCTTGGTGGTTGTTTATTGTTGGCCAGTTGGTGGAGAAGGAAGTGGTGGCTCTTCCTCAGTACGTGAACCTGCAGGAGATGTGGGTATAATTGTGTCATATGGCCACTATTGCTCTCTCCTACTCAGGTAGATAAAAACAATGATCAAAAAAACATCAAAAAAGTAAAAGCAAGTTGACAAAAAACACACTGTGTAAACATGCAGGAACAATTGCAAAAAAAGAAAATAGGAGGAAAAAAAAAACCCACAGTAACTGGAGAGAGGGCAGTAAGAGAAAAAAGAGTAAGAGAATAATGAAGAAAAACATGGGAAAAATGCAAAAAGAAAAATAAGGAATGTGGTTAACCATGAATAAGAAAAAAAATGGGAAGCAGGAACAGGGAAGAAAGAAAAAGCTCAAAAACTAAAACTTAGGAAGGGAAGAATAAAGAATCATAACAAGGACAAATAATAATAATAATAATTTTAAAACATGAGAACAAACTTAAAAAAAAAAGTCTGAGCAGGGCATCCAGGCTTCGACCAAGCCCAGAGATTGTGATGGAATTCCTGCTGGCCCAGAAGGTGGGTGGAAGTGAAGGATAGCTGCATCTCCTTTCACCAAGATGGTGTGAAGTCTAAGAGTAACAAGGGGAATATTGCACCTTTCCAGTCGCTCATGTCCTGAATGTCCTTGTGGTTCCCAGCAAGTGGAGCCTATACGTAAGTCCCTAGAATCTGGAAGAATGCTGTTGCTTTAAATATCCTAAATGATCAAACCACTTGTAAACATTCAAAATGGCTGTGCCCTCTGGACAGGAAGAGGTCCACAGCTCAGCCTGCCTTCCTCTTCACTGCTTCTTTTATTCACTAGCCACTAGTGCGGTCCTCCGTGCACCTCCTGGCTAGTAGGGCCGATTTTTATGTTAAGTCTTAGCAAGTCTTAGCATAGTGTCTTAGGCATTTGACTGCTAAGCAGAAGGCTGGCGATTCAAAACCACCAGCCACTCCTCGGAAGGAAGATTGGGCAATCTATTTCCGTAGTGATACCACCCCGGAAATCAAAGGAGGGGTGGCTATGAGTTGGGTTTGACCCGACCACAGTAAGTTTGGTTTGGTTTGGTAACACCACTTGGCAATATCCAAGCTGTCCGTGCCATTGGGATCGCTGATAGCCTGCAGCTCTGTATGTCTCCTTATTCAGTATTTTCATGCAGGTTCTTCTACTAGTTGGAGTTAAGTCCACTTCTGTATCCTTCCCTTCAAAGCTCAGGGCTCTAGGATTATTTTCTGTATTTGTGTTAATTGGTTTCTCTTTTCTTTGTTGAAGAAGGACTGTGAAGTCTGTCTGCCTATTCTGCCATCTTACCAGTCTCACAGACATCTGGTTTCTTGACTGCTGCTTCCAGGGGTGTTGATTATGGAGCTAAATAAAACAAAATCCCTGACAACTTCAGCATTTTCTCTGTTTATCATGATGTTGCTCACTGGTCCAGTTGTGAGAATTTTTGTTTTCTTCATGTTGAGGTGTAATCCATACTGTAGTCTTTGATCTTCACCAGTAAGTTCTTCAAGTCATCTTCACTTTCAGCAAGCAAGGCTGTGTCATCTGCATATTGCAGGTTGTTAATGAGTCTTCCTCCAATACTCATGCCATGCTCTTCTTCATATAGTCCATCTTCTCAGATTATTTGTTCAGCATACAGATTGAATAATTATGGTGAAAGAATACAACCTGACACACCCTTCCTGATTTTAAATCATGCAGTGTCCCCTTGTTCTGTTTGAACGATAACCTTTTGGTCTATGTACAGGTTCCTGATGAGCATAATTATATGTTGTACAATTCCCATTCTTCACGATGTTATCCATAATTTGCCATGGTCTACGCAGTTGAAAGCCTTTGCATAGTCCATAAAACACAGATAAACATCTTTCTGGTATTCTTTGTTTTCAGCCAAGATCCATCTTACATCAGCAATGATATCCCTCATTCCGTGTTCTTTATAAGGAGCTCTGGTGGCCTAGTATCTAAGGCATTAGATTGCTAACCAGAAGGTTGTTGGTTCAAAACTCTCTAGCCACTGCATGGAAGGAAGACTGGGCAATCTACTTCTGCAAAGATTTACCACCTCAGAAACCCAAAAGGGGTCACTATGAGTCAGAATTGACTCAATGGCAGTGAGTTTGTTTATTTTGTATGTTCTTTATGAAGAACCCATAAAGGCCACTATATGTCTAGAGACTTTATAGTTAGCGTTGTTGTTGTTAGGTGCTGTTGAGTCAGTTCCAACTCATAGTGATCCTGTATATAACAGAACAAAGTACTGCCCAATCCTGTACCATCTTCACAATTGTTACTGTACTTCACCCCATTGTTGCAGCCCCTGTGTCAATCCATCTTGAGAGTCTTCCTCTTTTTCACTGATCTCTACATTACCAAGCATGATAGCCTTCTTCAGGGGCTGGAGTAATTAGGGAAAATTGAAAGTAAACAGACCTATATCTAAATTGGAGTTCTAGCACATTTTGTGTGACCTTGAGAATAAACCACTATGAATGAAAGTTATCTGCAAAATAGAACTTATCCCTTAGTTCAAATATTTTTATTATTAGTTTGAATTTTTTATTATAGTCATTTAAAAAATTTTTGTGTTTGTGTAAAAACTTGGGAAGACCAAGTTTAAGCTACAGTGGGATAACAGAACACAGTCACCAGCTGACTTTGTGCAGAGAAATGGGGGGTTAGCAAGTACTACTACTGTTTTTCCTTAAATATTCCAAGTTTACATAGGGTTAATATCTCTCGTAGAAAGATTGGTGGCTTGCTTGACAACTTTTTAGGAGAGATCCCAGTTTAATCCAGTGGTAGTTCCTAATGAATGCTTGGGATTTTGTAATACCACAGAATGAATATTCAGAATTCTCTTTCTTTCTTTTTTTGTTTCTGTTACATTTAGGTGTCTCTTGTCTCTTATGCTCCTGGGAAAGTGGTTTGTGAAATGAAAGTAGAACAACAGCATGCCAATAAATTTGGCACTCTACATGGTGGTTTGACAGCCACCTTAATAGATAGCATATCGACGTTGGCTCTGCTATGCACAGAAAGGGGAGCACCTGGAGTCAGTGTTGACATGAACATAACGTATGTATACAAACTATATACGACAAACAGTTTTTAAAAATCTGATAACTCATTTCAGACAACTGAGAGTAACACACCTGTAAATAAAACATGAGCTGTAATTAATTGGACTTCCATAAGTGTAACTATGGATTTGCCCTAAAATGTTCCATAGCCTTAACATCTCTAACTAGAGTAACTAATTTCTGAGTACCAAACCAAACCTGTTGCCATTGAGTCGATTCTGAGCCGTAATGACACTATAGGACAGAGTAGAACTGCTTTGTAGAGTTTTTAAGGTTGTAATCTTTATGATAGGAGATTGCCACATCTTTCTCCTACACAGTGGCTGGTAGGTTTTAACGTTGATCTTTTGGTTAGCAGCCAAGCACTACACAACCAGGGCCCTTGATTTCCAAGTACAATATGTAACAAATGTTCAAAAAATCAATTGTTCAGCTTTGAATTTGTAATAGGGAGATCATCAAAGACTCACAGCTGATAACTGTTTCATATAGTCTGGAAAAGCATCCCTTGTACAGATGTCATAAGAGAGTTGTATGGAGCCCATATACTTAAAGAAAATTCTGGATATAATTCAAAGAAAGTTGGAGAAACTTCCCTATGCACATTGTAATCTTGTAACAAGGTAAACACAAGTGTCTGGTCTTAACAGACCGCAATCCTGGACTTTTTTCTGAGACTTTGCAAACAGGTTCTGTAGGTTGATACATCATCAGGGTGCAGTACTAACAGCGTCAGGCTATCACTCACTGTTGGGAAAGTGCCTACAAAGGTCAAACTTTCTGAAAATACAAAAAATTCAATTCTAACCTAAACAAGTATGGTTCCGTGTCCCATTCTTTTTAAAAAACGTACAGGGCTCAGGGATTTAGTTGCAAGATAACTACTTTTCTACCTAAGCAACAGAAAAATATATTTACTGGGGGACAGGCAGGAGTTAGGTGAAAGAGTGATGTTGTAAGACAAGAAGTCTATGTAAATATGTAGGTTATTGGGTTTTTAAACAGTCTAAACCTTTTACTAGCCTATGAAACATTGACTCTTCTGTATTGTGGAGATAACTTAAACTGAGGGCTCAATAAGCAAACCACAGGACAAAATGCAGATAAATGTTCTTTAGAAATTAAGATGTACAAAAAAGACTCCTGTGTTACTGGGGAACATATGCAGCAGTCATTTCTTACTCTATTGTGATAAGGGGTAAGACTGGTTGATGGCTGTACTGTCCTTTAAATGCCTCTGATGAGAGTCAGATGAGCTCTTCAAACCTAGCACTGTATGTCATGATGTGCTAAGATACTGCTGCTTTCATAACACTAAAGAATATTTAATGAATCAAACAGAGTTTTGGCCTTTCAAAGTATAAGTATTGACAAAAGCATTGGCTACAATCAAGAGTTCCTTTAGCTTTGAAAATGAATTCACTTGAACAGAAACTAGGACCTAGTCTCAAAGATTTACTGTAGATATTTCAAAAGTAAGTTTAAATTTCAGTCAATGAACACCTTATGATTTATTCTTTGTACTACTACTGACATAGTACCAAATTTCCTTTATTCCTGCCCCTTAAGTTCTAGGTTACATAAATGAAAGACATCTGTCAGGCTGTCTTAAGTTAAAAAATCTGGTTTCCAAAACAAAGAATAATGCTAGGATAGGAATGTTGTTTGCTGTTAGTTGTCTTTGAGTTGATTCTGACTCATGGCAACCTCATGTGTACAGAGTAGAGCTGCTGCATAGGGTTTTCAGGGCTGTGACCTTTTGGAAGCAGATCACCAGACCTGTCTTCCAAGGCACCTCTGGGTGGATTCGAACTGTCAACCTTTTGGTTAGTAACTGAACACTTAACTGTTTGAGCCAGGATAATACTCTAGGCAAAATGCCAGCTTCCAGTTTTTTCCAGATTCACTATTTGCTCCTCTATAGCACAACGGGTTGCTTGCCTCCCCCTGGTTTCATTTAAGTTAATGACTTATGCCAAAGGGGCAGGGAGGCCCTATCTTCTGACCTCTTCTAACCCCACAAAAGGAAGACAGAATCACCATCAGTAGCCCAAGGCCTATCCCTGTGAGGCCACACATGCTGCCTCCCTCCAGCCCTGACACCAACCATTCTTCGCGCAGCATCCACCACCTCTCTGCTGGGTTCAATAATTTGCTGCAGTGGCCACACAGAACTCACAGATTGTCGGGTTTATTAGGGAATCACCAGGCTACAATTCAAGTTTAGGAACACCACTCAGTCTCTCTCAGCCTGCCATCTCTCAGCCAGTAGTCTCTCACTTTCTCTCCCAGCAGTGCATGTCTCTTGGTGTCTCTCTCTCAGCAATGTGTGTCTCTCAGTGTCTCTTTCTCAGCAGCACATGTCTCTCAGGAGCGTGTTTCTCTCAGCAGCACGTCTTTCTCGGCCAGCAGTCAGAGAGACTCCTTCTGCCTCTAGGAGGGCTCCTTTTGAGCCTGGCAGAGTGGCCAAACTAACCAATCATAACATCAAAATTCTAAGCACCTGACCAAGCAAACTTCCCAGAACATTGCTTTGTGCCACTCTCAACAGAAATACCCCAGGTGGATAACTTTAACAATCAGGAGCTCCTCAGCTGCTCATGGCAAATCCCATCATGGAGTTTATAAAGACTTATGGCTAGAAAAGCCATACCGGGTAATTTACTACATCACAGCTTATTAGCAAAATTCTTTTTATAAGACAGATTTTGGGGAAGTAATGAAATTTTGGCAAAATGTTACTAAACCTGCCATTTTGATCTTTAAATTGAAGCACAATAAAGTCCCAACTTGTGTAAGCCTTCCAGCTACAAACACTGAAGTTGGCAAACTTTTTTTTAAAAAAGTTCCTGGCTTTATACAAAGCAGAAAGCTAATAATAAACTGTAAGGAAATTATTTCCTTTTAAATCATTAACATTATTTTATATGGTCTCATGCTTCAGAGTCTTTACTTTAGTGGAGTCAGCTGAATTAAAGACAGCTTAATTAATGATTATAAGTGGGTAGGAAGTATTTCTCTTAAAAATATGTATATGCAATTCATCACCACAGTTGTTGTTAGGTGCCAGAGAGTCAGCTCCGACTCATAGCAACCCTGTGACCCCAGATTAATTCTTCATAGTTCTTACGTAGTCATTTTAGAGTTGAGTAAATTCTAAGTATTGATATGATACGCCATAGATAACAAGTGATACTTCAATTTGGAAGTTAAACTGATTGAACAAAAACTAAAGGAATTCTTTCACTACTCCCAAATATGAAGTAGGAAACTCAATGTAAAAAAAAAAAGGCAAGAAAACCCTTTCCCATATTTATAGGAAAAGAAACTTATTTCTGGATAAGCAATGGTTGAATAAGATGGAGCTTGGTCAGGAGCAACCACTCAAATTTGATAGGCCAGAAAACTTGACTGATACTCTTCTTAAACTATGTTTAGGAGTAATGTAAGTAACATAGGAAGCTTGTATTGAGATGTACACAATTTTCCCTTTTAAAAAATATTAGCCCTTTAACTGTATTTAAATTTGTTTCCTTTCAAGGTACATGTCACCTGCTAAAATAGGAGAAGATATATTGATTACAGCATATATTCTGAAGCAAGGAAAAACACTTGCCTTTACCTCTGTGGATGTGACCAACAAGGCCACAGGAAAATTAGTAGCACAAGGCAGACACACAAAACACCTGGGAAACTGATAATGGCGGTCTAATCTACAGAAACCCAACAATGATTATCAAATGTAAATTTGACTTTAAATTTTCACAATAAATTAGCACAACCATAAAAATAGGTAAGAGATATTTTCTCTGGGGAAAAGGATATAGAAAGCCAAGTGAGGTAGGGGTTCCTGTGCTTTTTCATTTGAAGGCTTTTCAGTTTTATTTTATATCGCGTGTATATTAATTACCTGGATGAAATCATTCTTAGCTCACAGTGTTGTATAAACTTAAGCAAAAATCTATCATGGCCACTTTGTGATAAGATTACTTCAAAACTAAAGTACAATGAAGTCTTGATGCATGCTACAGTATGGATGGATCTTGAAGACACTATGCTAACTGAAACAAGCCAATCAGAAAAGAACAAATATCGTTTGGCCTCACTTGTATAAAAATACAAGAAAAGGTAAATGTATAGAGACTTAAGTTTATTAGTGGTTACCAAGGGCAAAATAGTGTAATAGTATGCTCCTCCTCCACCCTTTCTTTAATAAAAGATGCAAGTCTTAATATAGCAAAACCTGTGAAAACTGGTACTTGACTGGGACTGCCTTGTTTTTTTGGGTCTTGAAAGTTGGGAAAAAGTGAGTTAATGGTCATGGAGGAATTGCATTGATTAAGGGTGGCACTGCACAGCTGGTAATTCTAATTACTGTCATTAAGTTGTACACCTGTAGAAACTTGAACTGGCAAAAGTTGTGTGATATATTTATGACAACAAAAAATAATAGTAGCTGCTGAGGCTGCTTATGTACAACCAACTGAACACTTCATGGGAATTTATTCTTTGGTTTGGAGGTTTAGAGTCATGGTTTCATGGGACATCCCAGTTAATTGCCCTAATGTGTTAAGTGCTTCATTTCTACTTCCAAGTTTGATGCATAGTGCCTCAGGTCTTAAAAGTTTGCTGATGGCCACCTAAGGCACAATTATTCTCTATCAACCTAGAGCAACAGGAAGAAAAGAGAATAAGGAATAGGAGGATGTGAAATGTGTGGTTAATTGCCTCCATGAACAACTGCTGCTTTGCCATGAGACTAGAATTGGATGGGGCCTGGCCACCATAACTCAACATTTTGATCAAAAATTCCATAGACGAATACTGATCAAAAAGGGGAAAATGCAGAACAGAGTTTCATATTCTTATGGACTCCAGGCTTTTTGGAGCTATTGAGAGTGAATGAACTCCTGAAATTATTGCACTGAGATAATCTTTAAACCTTAAACCAAAAATATTCCCTGAAATACCTTAAAACCAAACAGTAGTTTAGCTTAACTAGTAAAAAAGCTCTGCCTTGAGCATTAGGCTCTTTTAAGAAACTATCTATATGGGATCAAGTTGACAACAGCACTTTGAAAGATTAGATGGGAATCCTAGGCAAGAATGAGTTTTTGTTATTGAGGGAGAAACACCTCAGAAAAGGGGGGTGAAAATGACTGCACAACTTGAAGAATGTAATCAGTGTCATTAAATTACACATATAGAAACTGTTGAACTGGTGTGTTTTATTATTTATTATTATTACTTATTATTGGGGATATTTATTCCCAACAATGAAATAAATCAAACTTAGGAGAAAAAAAAAAAAAAACTCCAACTTTTCCAAAGGAAAGGTATTAATAGTTAATCCATAATGAATTTTAGGTCCTTCTTAGCTCTAAAATGCCATGCTATGTTTTCTTTTTCTTTTATAACCTAGTTTCAAGATCACAGAACTTCAAAATAATTAACCATAACCTAAATTGGGAAATATATTGAGCTATCTGGTCTAAAATAGTCCTTACAAAAATTTAAGGGAAATCATGTTAGTGATACAAGGAATGGTCCAATGAGTGTGCTCCTTTTCTCTGAAAGAGAATTTATTACAGTGAAATCCAGAACCTGTGTTAAGGTAGAAACTTGTCAGAGAAGGAAAACTTGAAATATTTTCCACTAATAGAGATTGATAGAAAAGTGTAAGACTGCGTTCTGTTAAAGGAGGAAAACTTTTAAGACCCAAAAAATCAAAGCAATCCCAGTCAAGTACCAGTTCTTACAGGTTTTGCTATATTAAGACTGGCATTTTTTTTTTTTTTTTAAATTAAAGAAGGGGTGGAGGAGGAGCATACTATTAGGCTCCTGAATCTCCTAGTCTATAGTATTAAAAAGACCAAGTTCATAATGGAAAATACGGCAGTAGATATTGGTGATGGTTGCACTATTGATGTGAATTGTACACGTGAAAAACGTTAAATTGGCAATGTTACATATTTTTACAACAAAAGCAGCATATCCACAAATTGTTTAGTCTATTTCTCAAAGTTTTGTTGACTGTGTCACTCTTAATAATTGATTTCTGTACCAAGGAGTCCTAGTCACCATTTCTAGATTGAAAAGAAATTTTAAATAAATTGGGAAACATAGCGAAGCTGACAGTTAAACCTTGATTATCCTTTGCCTGTATTAGAATGGATGCTTGACTATCTTCTAAAAGGACAGAGCAGATTTCTAGTAGCAGTGAACACACAGGAGACCCATATGTTGATTTCTAGTATTTTTCGGTAAAAGAAACCTGGGCTTCTCAGAGAAATGCCCAGTTCCAGGGTAGGGGCCAGGACAGGGAAGTTACAAGATGTTTTGTGCCTGAAAGTAAGGATATGCTCAAGAAAAAGATTCGTGTGCAAATATTTAGGTTGGAAAAAAGGAATCCATTGGCACTGTTTAGATGGCTACAGCATGGCAAAGAAAGGAAAGAAAGCTCTTCCTTGTAATATAAGGCTGACAAAGATGTAAGGAGGGATAGGTTCAGAAAACCACCATTTGCAAACATGGATGGGTTTCAGCAGTGATGCTCTTGATAAGGAGTACGAAGAATATTTGCATTTTGTCTTCCAGATTGCTTCTTGGTTGCCAGGGGAAAACAAAATTAGTATCACCAGAATAGACAGTATGCTTCTGGATGTTATCCTGAGAAGGGCCTAAGGTCACATTGGATGTTGACAGGAATATGTAATTGAAATCTAACCATAAAGAAACATTACTTGAATATAAAATAAGATTTTATATTAGTGTATATATATATATATATATATGTATATATGGGCTTGTACTCATGGGACATGAGACCAGAACTAGATGGTATCTGGCTGCCAGTTGGCCACTCGGAGGGGGATCTGTGCAGGAATCTTGGATAGAGTGGGAGAACAAGGTAGAACAAAACTCAAAATCACAAAAGACTAGTGTGATAGTTGGAGCTGTGTGTCACCTTGGCTGGACCACAATTCTGTGTGGTTTAAGCAGTTGTGATGTGGTTATTCCCATGATGGGATCAGATGAGTGTTTTGAGCAGCCAATCCATTGAAAGGGAGTTCCCTTAGGGGTGTGGACTGCTTCCAGTATATTTATGGACATCCTGGGAAAAGAGACACTCTTCTGTGGATCAGGATTCTGTTGTGCTGCCTACAACTGTCTGTGAGCTAACAATCCACCATTCAGCCTGGAGATCTTGGATGTGTCATTCGTTGGAGTCAACAGCCAGTATACTGCCTGCCAGCCTTGAGTTCCTCAGCCCCTGCAGCTGTGAGTCGGGAAAAGCCTCAAGCGTGTTATTTGATCCAAGAACTTTGGACTTTTCCAGCTTCTATGTGTGTGAGCCATTTTCCTATGATAAATTTATCTTTATATATGTAAGGTTTACTGGTTTTGTTTCTCTAGAGAACCCAGTCTAACACAACTAGGTTTGTGGGTCTGATAGAGCCTGGTGAGACCCCTGAGGCTATGGCCCCTAGCCACCCTTTAGGTGGAATTGCATTCACTTCTGTGGCTTCCAGCCAAACAAGACAGGTATATGGGCTGAACATTTATATCAGGTAGACAGACTACTTGGTGCAATCAATCCTGGGAGAACAGAAGGGCAGAGTTTGCACAGGGAGATAGCTCGGAGGGCAGGAGTGCATGGGAGGGAAGGACACAGGGCAGAGGTAACTATGGGGAGGAAGTGGGAAGAGAGCTGTTACATTGTGGGGAATTGCAGTCAATGTCATGAGACAAAATGTGTATGAACTGCTGTATGGAAAATTAATTTGCTTTGTAAACTTTGACCCAAATCACAATAAAAATTTTAAATGTCAATGTCATGAAATACAAAGAAAGGCTGAGGAACTGTTTATAAACTAAAGGAGACTATAGACATGACAACTACATTCAAGTAGGGGGGACTCTGGAAAAAAGATATAGGACTATTTAAATAATTGAATATGAGTGATATAATACCAGTGTTAAATTTCCTACATCTGATAATCTTACTATGGTTATTTAAGAGAATGTCCTTGTATTTAGGACATACAAGTAGTAGTAAGGAATAAGGAATCAATGTATGCAACCGATTCTCAAATGGTCCAGAAAAGTAACATGTAAAATTTATATGGAGAATGAAAACAAATGTGGCAAAATGTTAAAAAATGAATATGGGTAAAGGTTATACAGGAGCTTTCTGCATTACTCTTTCAACTTTTCTATTTTTGAAATTATTCTAAGATAAAAATTTAAAGATAAATAAAACAAGTGGCTGCTGAAATGCTTAATTTGTCATCCTTAACATAGTAAAATGGTTAAGAGCTTAGGCTCTGGAGCTAGACAGCTTGGTTTCAAATTCTCCACTACTCAAAATGTAAGTTTGGGCAAGTTATTTAACCTTTGCATCAGCTGTTTCCTTCCTGTGTTATTAACAGCTTTAGAACAGTACCTGGCCATAATAAACATCCACAGTGCTCTTGCGGATTCTCAGACTGATCAGAGAACACATGAAAGCATTTAGAAATTAAGAATATATTGTTTTTTTCTTTTCCATGAAACAAGGCATTAAGGCCAACCTCGTAACTGTTGGAAGCTTGTAAAATTCCTTTTTTTTTTTTACCATTCTGATTAGTTAAGAACCCAATTGATGAAAAGTTCCCAGCCCCTTATCCCCAATTAAGTTATAATATACCCACAGTCATGAAGATGGTAGAGGACCAAGCAATGTTTTCTTCTGTTAGACCTAAGGTCACCATGAGTTGGCAAGGACTGACAATAATTAACAACAATGACACTTACCCCATGACTTGGGAAAAAATTTTACCACTTCAAGTTTTGTATATTCACCTGAATAGTCAGGGAACTTTCACCTATTTTATTTAGGTTTTCATTTTTTCAAATTTCAACCAGAAGCTAAATACAATTGGAAACCAGTAAGCACTAATTTTACTCCAAAGGAGTAAGTAGGATCATTCAGATTTACTCCAGTAAGTATGCAACCCTTAAGCAAAGCTTTTCTTCATTTAAAAGGAAAACAAAAACAAAAACAAAAAAAACTATACAGTAGTCTTTATGTTCATTGCACAAAATGAGTTCTGCGTTTTGACACTCAATTTCTTTTTACAATTTAAGATCCCAACTTTTATAACTTTTTTCTATTCCCAAAAAGCCCTAAGTTCTTTCTTTAACATGGTGTAGAAACCAGTATTTATGCACAATTCACTGAATTTCTTTCCTTTGTAACAATATCTCTTCTCTTTAAAACCAAAAAACAAAACAAAAACCAAAAAGGAAAATCCTCTATCATTGTTTCTGCAGCTATGAATGTATTCTCGGTTTTATAGCTGCATTAGCTACTTCAGACTCCAGATCTGTTTTAATGTGTATGTCTACACTCAGCAGAATACTCTTTTATAAAAAACAGCAACTTGGGGAAAGAGATCTGGAAATAAAAAAACATGTATTTATGAGTACCAGGAAATAAACATGGCCCAGTAAAATATGAGGCAAGCAAGAATGCCTACAATGAGATGCTTTTTTTCATTTAAGATTTCTTTCCCGTGGTTGTCTCTTTTTTTTTAACAACCACCTCTGGTCATTAAAATGAATCTGAGAGTGCTCTGGAACAACGGTGATTACAGCAAAGCTATTAAGTTTTTAAAAATGTTATTTATACCTGTTACATTCACTTCTCACCCCCTAAATACTGATGACAGATGTCAAAGAGGCAAAAACCAGCATAAATGGGAAGACCATCAAAAATGAGTATCACACCTTGTGCTTTCAGATACATTTAAGCATTTCAGTGTACAATAGTCCTTTCACTTCACATTTTTAGTAAGACGCTGATGCAGTGCAGTAAATACGCAAAGCATCTTCTTTCACACAGTCCGTGCAGAAGACATCCAATTTTTTTTTAAAGTTCTGTGATACAAATGATTTAAAAAAATCCAGAATGAACAAGTTTCAAAATGCATAGTGTTCTGTGCATGAGTCCATTTTCCTTAAACTCTGAAAGAATAAAGTGGTAAGAAAACAAGAAAAACATTGCTGCTGCATTCTGATCTTCTCCATTGTGCTGGTCAGTGCTCTATTCTGGCATATAAGGATGGAGGTGATCCTCTATGGTGCCAACTGCCCAGTGAGTAAGCTGCTCCTGTGGCAGGTAGAGGCAGATGCTGCATAACTTGAAGATTGTAGCTTTGTTTTTTGGAGTCTGGAAGGGGAAAAATTTTTAATATTATTAATAAATGAGACTGTAGCAATGGTCACATGAAGTCAGTCTCCCACAATTTATTAAGCACCTATGACATAGTAACAAAGTATGCAGAGTAAGGGAATTAAATATATAGTCCTTAGCAATAGGGAACTTAATCTAGTTAGGAAGACAGAACCCCTTGCCATGTAAGATACACAAAAACATAAAAGATTTAAGCACATACTGGGGCAAGGGACACAAGGGGCTCTAGTGGTATAATGTGTAAGGCATTTGACTACTAACCAGAAGGCTGGGGGGCAAAAGTATCACCAGTTAAACCAAACTCTTAGTTTTAAAAGTAGTTACTATTTTAACATGTAACTTTTGATAAACATGTGCTAGGTGCTTTCATAAATAACCGTTCTATTAAGTGGGAGATGAAACTGGAACCCAGACCTGACCGCAAAGTTCATTTCTATAACACCTCTTGAAAAGGAGAGGAGAAGGGAAACACTATGAAATGAAGGCTCAAGTCTAAAGTAATCTATATATGTGTAAATGAACCTATACATATGTATAAACTCATTTCAGTCATCCCAACAATCTTATCACCATTTGCTCAATTTAACAGAAGAACATGCTCCCTGAAGTTACTTGTCCAAGATCAAAAAACCAAACTCGCTGCCTTCAAGTCGGTTCCAACCCACAGTGACCTTCCTTGGGTTTCCAAGGTGGTATCCCTATGGAAGTAGATTGCCCAATCTTCCTTCCAAGGCATGCCTGGTGGGTTTGAAGTGCCAGCCTTCTGGTTAGCAGTGAAATGCCTTAGGTACTACATTAGCAGAGCTCCTAGATCAAACAACAGTGTCTCCATTTGTATTAGAATCCACTAACTCCAGGTGTGTGCCTCTACACTACTTGCCCATCCAAGATTATTCTTTAGTCCTTAGCATGAATCAGAGAGATACATAAATCACGTATCATGATAAAGGGCAAAAGATCTGTTTCGTGATTTTAATCACGTTATTAACTTCTTTTTTTTTCCCCCTGTAACTCTAAAATGGAGTAATAATACTCCCACTTCAGAGGACTATTAAGGATTAAATCCATTTATGAATATAAAGCTCTTAGCATAGAGCCGGGCACATAATATACTATCACTGTGTTGGCCCCTATCTTATCATCTTCCTCATGAAATCTGTATCATGCAAATATGGCAACACATTTTCAAGTTACGAAGATCAACAACAAAAGCTGGGTAGAGGAGGGGGACTAAGAGCACTAAAGATCAAATTCATCTACACCTAGGGTGATCAACCATCCCAGAATGCCAGGCACTGAAGCATTTTCCCAGGACTCAGGACTTTTGGTGCTAAAGCCAGGATATTCCAGGCAAACTGAGACTATTGGACACCTACGTACAACCCAAATTTAACTCAGAAGTTTAATATTTTCTTTTCATTAAAAGGATTCAAGCTATTTGCTTCATCAAGCACAGAAAACATCAGACCATATATGACAGTATGATTTACAGCAACCCAACTCTTTTAAGTTACTAATCATTTCTATAAAGTATTAATTTCATAATATACTCAATGTGCAGATGAAGTCTCATTTCTCTACACTAGTATACTAGACATTAAATCTCTATGACTAAAAATCTGTATTATATATTCTATAAATTAAGAAACTTTAAAATTGGGTAAGATTAGCACAATTGCCTGCTACAGAAGATTTTCTCAACAGACAATTCACTACAAGGAATTTAAAAATATCAATTAAAAACATTTACTACCAGCAAAGATGAGGTAGAGAAGAAATTGAAAAAAAAAGAATCATCTAAATTATATGGTCTTTCTACAAGTTTATCTAATAGATTAGCTTCACTGAGTTCTTTCTTCTAGAATTTATAGTTCTTTCAGTTGTACCTGTATTGTAATTAATGTGCTCTGCTGCTAACTGAAAGGTTGGAGGTTCAAGGCCATACAGAGCACTTCATGAGACTGGCCTGTCAATTTACTTAACATGCACCTTCTACGTGTGTTTGCCAACTCTCTCTCCCAGTGGGAAGTATTTTTGTAAGCATGCTACGCTAATTTTCTTTTTACAGCAACATGTAAAAAAACTGGCATAGTGTAAAAATACAGTACTTTGAACTGCTCTGGTGGCATAGTGCCTAAGGCATTTGACTGCTAACCAGAAGGTCGGCAGTTCAAACCCACCAGCTACTCCATGGAAGGAAGACTGGACAATCTACTTTCGTAAAGATTTACCATCTTGGAAATCCAAATCAACTTGATGGCTGTGAGTTTGGTTTTAGTTTTTACACTGGGACAAGACAAAGTAAATGTGTTAATTTTCTGCAGTAGCCTGCTAGCTTCTTGAAAGTAGCAGTATAATTCACCTTTGCATTTTGCAATTCACCTTTGCACAGATACCCTTAAGATTATTTAATAATAAACTTATTTGTATTCCCCTGCCCTGTTTTCTTTTTCCTTTAGCACTAACGTCTAAATATTACATATTTTACGTATTTATTGCTAGGTCTCCTACACTGGAACATAAATTCCACAAAGGCAGGAATTTTTGTCTATACGTTCATTGTTGTACACTTCCTAGTAGACACTCATTTATTGAATGGCAAATTACGATGATGCTGTTTTTTAGAAGTTAATAGATTATTATACATGCTAAGTGATCATTGATATTCAGAGATAGGATGATGAGAATAAACAATGTTTTATAAAATTGAAAACTAAACTGGAATACTTGAATTACTGTTTGAATTAGAACTGCTTATTTGAAACTCATGAGGATCATCTCTTCAGGTTGATTTAAAAGGTCTAGACCAGTGCTTCTTAAAAACAATGTGTTATCTGAGGACCTTGTTAAAATGCAGATTTCTGGTTAAGAAGGACCAGAGGTGGGTCTGAGATTCTACATTTTCAAAAAGTTCCCAGTTGATGCAGACCTGCTGACTAGACTTTAAGTAGCTCTAGAGCAGTGGTTCTCAAACTCTGTCCGCTCAAGTCACAACTTTTAAAAGCTTCCCAGATAGTTCCAAGGGACAGCAAAGTTTGGGAACCACTAACCACTATTCTAGGGCAAGCCCCGGGACATTTTTTTTTAAATAATTTCAAAAATAATGCAATGTTGAGAGGACAGATCAAAACTAAGTACCTTGCAAAGAAAACAGTTTACTAACCAATAAGCTAGTATCTTCAAATGACCCCTTAAATGGTTACAAAAAAAAAAATGCTTATTACCTGCAAGTGCTGTCTGTCAATGAAGAGAAACACTGACTGGTTAGGATTGTTGACAACAATTCCAGTCTTGTCCTTGCGGCTCAGTACATGCAGAAACTGTTTTTCATAGTCACCGTGATGAAACTCAAATTTGGCCTAAGTAAGAAATAGAAACATTTATGTGTAAATTATACTACCTATACATCTACTGCATTCACACGCATTCTATCTATGCTGTCCAATATGGTAGCCAATAGCCATATGTGGCTATTTAAAACTAAAGAAAATTTAATTTCAAATACTTAAGTTACCTACAGCTAGTGGCTACTATTTTGAACAGCCTCCTGAGATGTATAACCATTTTCTTCATCACAAAAAGTTCACTAGACAGCACTGCATTATATAATATAACCTTCAAGAAAGAATCTGTACCAAAGTGACTAAACCCTGTCAATTGAATATTATTGTCAATAACCAAATTTCAGATGATCAAATTTTCAAAATGATTCAGCTCAAGATTCCTACTATAGTATTTTTGATCCCTAATGACATCTCCTGCCTTTCAATGATAACAAACACTATGATGGCTCTTGGAAATAAATGTTTATTTTAGCTCTGTTACTTTATGTGAACTCCACTAACTTCTAAATTTCAGCCTTCTCATCTACAAAATAATCCATCTCACAGGATAGTTAAAAGGATTAAATAACATAAAGAATGAAATACACTTCCATTCTTCACACAAATGGGCTTCATAGGATTTATGAACCTTTTGAAATTTTTAAAGTAATGCTTTTATGTACATTTAACTTTACAGCTAGGCTCAGGTTATACATACTCCACACTTACTGACTATCTCATTATTTGACATTTACCATTTACCATAGTAAAAAATGTACTGTTTTGCACATTGATGACAACATCTGGCAGTAATGAACACCAAGGTATAAGAGTAACACTGGTTGTTGATGATTAAGGTTATGTGTCAACTTGGCTGGGCCATGATTCTCAGTGGTTTGGCAGTTATGTGATGATATCATTTAGAAGTTATAAAATGATGTAATTTGGCACTTATGTAATAATGTAGTGATCATCCATTTTGTGATCTGATATGTCATCCTCTTTTTATATAATGCCAATTTTCACACAATGACTTGGTCTTTGGAACATTGTTGTTGTTGTTGTTGTTATGTGCCATCGAGTCAGACCCGACTCATAGCGACCCCTCCTTGGGTTTCCGAGGCAGTATCACTACGGAAGTAGATTGCCCCATCTTCCTTCCGAGGAGTGGCTGGTGGGTTTGAACCGCCAGCCTTCTGGTTAGCAGTCAAGTGCCTTAACCACTACACTACCAGAGCTCCCTTTGGAACATAACCATGTCAATAAATGAGGCATGGGTGTTTATTTATTTTTTAATTTTCAAGTTACAAAGGATTATTATCAAGTTAAGTCAGTTTTTTTTTAAAAAAAAAAAAATCTTTTAACAGGATGAAGATCAATTTTATCCTCCCACAAAATTTCTGTAGTTATCATTGGGAGAGCCCAAATGCTGGGTGAAAAGACCAAGTTTAACCTAGAAAGAAACTTGGTTCAATTTTTATTCCTCTATTATGTCAAATACAGTAAGAAATACCACTATGGAAAAACCTTAAGTTCTTGCTATCTAGGATTTTACCACCCAGTAGTTCTTAAGCCATTTAAAAAAAAAAAAAAAAGGGTCTCCTAGCTGGATGAAGGAGGATGGGGCAATCTACTTCCGTAGTGATACTGCCTCGGAAACCCAAGGAGGGGTCGCTATGAGTCAGGTCCGACACGACGGCACATAACAACAACAACAGCTGGATGAAAAGTGCTGTATAATAATACATCATTTTATTCTTCACTGTAATTAACAGATCTTTTAAAAATCCACATTAAGTGATCCGACTCCAACTTTAATGACCTTATTTGCTTTTGCACTTCTGCACAATTCAAATACTTATTGAATTCTTGGCATAAAAAAGTGCTATATTAAATACTGGAAACTATAGTTATTTCAATCTTAAAGAAGTCCATCTACTTCTTTAAAGGCAAATGCATATAAATATAAAACATAACTTGCTTCAAAATCCTTTTCTAAAATAAGATACGGTTCACTCGTGAAATCCTAAATTAGGTTCATCAAAGTGCTATGGGAGGAAAGAAGCAATAATTAACAGAGTGGACAATGTTGAAAGCATTAACTAAACCCAACCTGCTGCCATCAAGTCAATTCCAATTCACAGCGACCCCCATTGGGTTTCCGAGGCAGTAAATCTTTATGAAAGCAGATTGCCCAGTTTTCCTTCCACAGAGTGGCTTGGTGGGTTTGAACCACCAACCTTCTGGTAGCAGTCAAATGCCTTAGGCACTGTGCTACCAGAGCTCCTTGTGTAGGAAGCATTAACAGGTCAATTTGGATAGGGCCTTGAAATAAAGAGAATTTTCCCAAGGGAAAGTTAAAATGGTTAGTAATTTGGAAAAATGTCATCCTAGGAAACAGGACCAGCGCAAGTATAAATTGTGTCAAAATCAAAATATTATTCAAATAAGAAAACTGCAATTCCAGTATGGCAAGTATCAGGTAAATAGAAGAGGTCAGTAGATTATCACACTGAAAAGAGGTTTTGGTAAGACTGAAAAAGGCCTTAAATATAATTTTATGGCATTTCAATTCTATCCTATTGAAAATAGGGAATCATGTAGATCTAAGAATGAAGGACTCACACCAAAAAGAAAACTCTTGTAACTGGCATGAAATAAGTAAGTCCAGAAGAGAAGTAATGAAATATTCTAATAGTCAGATCAAGAGACAACCTGGGGCAGTAGCATTAGGGATATATTTTAACAGCTCCCAGGAACTTTGTAGTACTCTTAGTAAACCAGGAATTTAATATTTAAAAACAATCTTTACTCTGGTTCCTATTAAGTCTCACTGGCAAGGTATTTGGGCTTTATAAGTTCTTTTTTTTGTTTGTTTATAAAGTTAAAATTTCCCTTTCCTTTTGTTTACCTTAAAAACTAACTAGGTTATTTGTATTTAAAGCTTCTCAGCCAAGTATTTTAAACATCTTCAGGGAAGTAAATGAGTTCTGACACAGTTTATTTACTACAGTGGAATTCTAAAATGGAAAGATATTACCTATATCCTACTGCTTACATTCAGTCCAGAATTTAGGTTTTATTATAATACAGGGAACTTTTCATAGTACAATATAGTGAGTTGAAAGCATAAGCTTTACAGTCAGTCCAGGTTTGTCTTGAGTGCCACTTAATGGCATGACCTTGGGCCTACTACTTAATCTTTAACTGTCTTAGTTTCTTTCTTTGCAAAATGAGGATCCTATATACCCTAGTTATCAGAAGAACAAAGATAAAATATATATATATATAATATTGAAGAGAATGCTTAGCACAGTCAACTCTGAATAAACATTAGCATGATTTCAAAGTTAAATTGTATTTAATTTGAGACAAGACTATTTAAACTATTCCAAATGAGGTCTCAGAGGGAGAGATAAAGTGATAGGGTGATAAACAGAACTATAATTTTCTAACAGGAAATTCTGAATTAAAATAAAAAATCCTAACAACGGTACCTGAAAGTAATAAAAATTGAGGGGGCTGTGAGACTTGCAGTGGGTTTTTTGGCCTGATAACTATAAGCATGCTTGTCCCATTCCTATATTCCTTCCTTTTGTTTTAACTTACATTTGCCAACATATTCGTGTTATTCAGACATCCATTAAAAGACCCAAATAAATGATGATAAAGTCTCTTTGCTACTAGAGTTAACAAATGGTTAACATGCTCGGCTGCTAACTAAAAGTTTGGACGTTTGAGTCCACCCAGAAACACCTGTAAGGAAAGCCCTGGCAATCTATTTGCAAAAACCCTGGCATTCAAAACCCTGTGGAGCACAGTTTGACTTTAATACACCTGGAGTCACCCTGAGCTAGAGGTGACTCACAGCAAATATTTTTTGTTTATAGTATGCTTTTACTTGTATTTAGCCTATGCGTTGAGAACTTATTACCAAAAAAAGGAATAATTTATTTGACTGATGTGTGGCATCTCCACAGGAGCAGGAGAATATCCCAGCTGTCACACACAAAAGCACCATAAAGATCCTTCGTAATATGGGATGCAAAATTTTCTAAACGACAAATCATTTTCTCACTCATAAACAATTAGCTTAGAATAAGCTTTTTAATATTTAGTTTTCGAAGTCATTACTTCTTAGGTTTTTTTCTGATTATAGATTATAAAATAAATGTATGTTCACTGTAGAAAATTATGAAAATATATACAAATCTTTTCAAGTATTAAAAAGAAAACTTCCTCATACTAGACCTAAAACTACCTTGATTAACATTCTGGTGGATCTCCTGTTTTCTATGCTATGTGCTATAAATAAAACTAGAATCATCAACACATAGCCCTTAAATTAACACTAGAAATGGTTAATATATTAAATGACACACTAGTCAAATGTAGCAAGATGCCAAGAAAGGTTAATTTGACCACTACTAAATTTACTTCTTTCCTACACAGTTTTTTATACACAAATCAACTTTTAGAAAAAGGTTTCTTAAGCAGTTTATTAGAACAGACTCCTCCTATCTCAGGGTAGAGAAGAAAGAGGATCAGAAGTCCTTTGAAGCTCATGGCTTCTCTATAAATCAACAAGCATCTACTTTATAAGATTATATCTGGCCATAATTTCAAAGACATACTTGGCAGTTAGAACCACCTTGAGATCTCAAGAGATTTACAATCTAAATGCTTTGTCCTCTCATATCACAACATTCAAAAAGACAGGAGGGATGCATGAAACAAAACTTATTAGAAAGAATATTTCCAAAGAATTTCTCAAGTTGCACCCCATTCTAGGAGTTCTCATTAACTGAAGTGTTCATTACACTTATTTTAGAATAAAATACCTGAACAGGCCTAAAAGGCTCATCAGATTCCTTCCACCTAGAAAACAGGAGACAGACAATTTTTTCAATGTCATTCCGAGGCCAAAGAATGAAATCCATCTCCTGAGTACAGCCAATTACATCCTAGAAAATGACCAAAAATAAATAAATTACTTTCAAAGAAACTTAGTCAAATAAGCAATATCACACATTACAAAGTTTGACTATAAAAGACTTTATAAGTACAAAAGGTATTTAAAACAATAATCTCTTAATATAGTAATATATTACTAAATATAGTAATATAGTAATATTATATATATAATCTAAGTATAGTAATAGGACTGTATACAATTGAAGTAGCTCATGACCTAAAGTTTATACAGTATAGTCCATACAGAAATCACTCAGTCCAATTTTTCTCATACCAAAGCCTAGACTAATCACTGTAGTGAACTCTTGACTTTGTTTTAGAGGGTTTTTTGGATAAGTCCTTATAGCTATATTTCTACCCTTTAAAATCAGAACCTGTTTAAGTAAAGGTGCCATGGGCCTTCTAATATGAATCATTACCTTCTTATTATGCACTGATAAAAAACTATCTTGTTCTCCTTCATTATCACAGCCCAACATAAAATTTTCAAGGCCAAAAAGCCTTTACCAGACCAGTACATGGTTACTTCCTGTCTTTTAAGACTTATCATTAACAGTGAGAATCTCTTGTTCAAGTACATCCAGATTAACTCTCAATGTGTTGCAGAAGTTTAGAAGGTTAGCACTAACGATATCTTCTACTATAGGTTTCTTATTTATAAAGGAACATAAAGTTAGTTTGCTCCACAAAAAGGAAACATTATTCATAGAAACAAATATATACTACTATAAGCATAACAATCTACATTAAGAACTTAGTTTTATGTATAGCACTTGCATTATTAAAAATAGTTGGCTATCACCGTAAGAACTAGATAAGTTACCACTGTCAACCACTAGGAAAATCTTGGATAAAGTGAGAAAATTGTGGAACAATACTCAAAGTCATAAAAAAAGACCAGGCTTGGATAGATGGGTAGACAGGCTGAACTATTAGGTACGTCTATGCAGGAAGAAGTGTGCCCATGACCATATATAGCATTGGGAGACAATGTTTCTGCAAGTGTATTTGTATATTCGTTAAGAATTTCTAGGTATATAATAGAGTTGACAAGGAACAAGGTTGTGGTCACTTCTTGGCCTCACCCAGCTACCCAGAGGGGGAGTAAGTAGTTAGAGCTGTGGGCTCGGGACCATAGCTGCAGAGGACATCAAGCTCAGTTGGCATAACAAACTACCCAAAAACATAGTTCCATATCCTACTTTGGCCAAGTAGTGACCAGGATCTTAAAACCTTACAAGTGGCCATCTATATATAACGATGGGTCTCTCCTCGTCCAGAGCAAAGAAGAATGAAGAAAACCAAAGATGCATGGAAACAATTTGTCCAAGCAATTGGTACACGATGGGATCCTCAGCCTATATGACTATGAGACCAGAAGAACTAGTTGGTGCCCAGCTAGCACTGTCAACCACTTGGAGGGAGATCTAAGTAGGAGATCCTGGATAGAGTGGGAGAACAATGTGGAACAAAAGTCAAAATCATTAAAAAAAAAAAGGGGGACAAGATTTGCTGGCCTAATAGAGCTTGATGGAACCACTGAGACTATGGCCCCTAGCTGCCCTTCAGGTCTGGAACTGAACCCATTCCTGTGGCTTCCAGCCAAACAAAAGATAGGTATATGAGCTGAACATTTACATTAGGTAGATACACTCCTTGGAGATATCAATCATGGGCGAATAGAAGGGCTATGTATGCACAAGGAGACAGTTTGGGAGGCAGGAGTACACGGGAGGGAAGAACATAGGAAAGAGGTAAGTAACTATGGGGAAGAAGTGTGAGGAGACCTGTTGCATTGTGGGAAATTGCAGTCAATGTCATGAGACCAAGTGTATGTGAGCTGTTGTATGGAAAGTGAATTTGCTCTGTAAACTTTCACCAAAAGCACAATAAAAATTAAAAACAGAAAGACCAGGCTTACAGAAGGAGAGTGTTTGCACAGGGAGGTACCTCAGGGGGCAGGAATGCATAGGAAAGGAGGACACAGGGAAGAGGTAACTATAGGGAGGGAGTGGGAAGACAGCTGTTACATTGTGGGGAATTGCAATCAATGTCATGAAACAAAATATGCATGAACTGCTGTATGGAAAACCAATTTGCTCTGTAAACTTTCACCCAAATCACAACTAAAAAAAAAAAATATATAGGGCAATATTTCCACAGGGAGACAGCTCAGAGGGCAGGAATGCATAGGAAAAAAGGACACAGGGAAAAGGAAACCATAACAAGAAAGTGGAAAGAGAGCTGTTACATTATAAGGATTGCAATCAATGTCATGAAACAAAATGTGTATGAACTGTTGTATGGAAAATGAATTTGCTTTGTAAACTTTCCACTCAAATCACAGTAAAAACAAAACAAAAAAGTAGTTGACTATCACCAGCACCTAACTTGGATTAAAGAGATCCCTCTACATACTTCATCCATAAAGAATGGTCTAGGGCAAGAATTACATTTTTCCAACCTTATCAAACACAATGGAGACCCTGAGTAGTGCAAATGGTTAATATGCTTAGCTGCTAATCGAAAGATTGGAGGTTCGAGTCCACCCAGAGGCATCCTGCAAGAAAGGCCTGGTGATCTACCTCACAAAAATCAGCCACTGAAAATGCTATGAAGCACAGTTCTACTTTGACACACACGGGTTGCCATGAATTGGAATTGTCTCAACGGCAACTATATTGTTTCATTTTCTTTAATCAAACACAGTAGATGTTTAAAAACTCTTAATGCAGGATTTCAGTTATTAACATGGCCTGAATAACAAAAGCATGATTAGGACAGACAAAATACATAGTAGAAAAATATGTCAAAGTCTGATTGCTAGATAGTAGCTGAGAATGATATCTAGCCCCAGAAGACTAATAAATGAAAACTTATATACTTATATTTTACATGTAAAAATGGCCGAAATGCCTAACCATAATAAAATTTTAAAAATTTAACTCATTTATCTTAATATACTATTAACTGATAAAGCCCATTAATTTTACAGACCTTGTAAAAGAACCTGAATATCTGGTTACACAAAACTTGTAAATTCATTCATCACCATTTTTAGGTAAAAATAAAAAAAAGCAAGCTTAGCTCACAGAAACTTACCTACCAAATTAAGATTTAAAAACAGTACTTACCCTTCTCATAGACTGGTATCGAGGAGCATGGAGCTGTACCACATCCTTCTGTAAAAGCTCTATGGAACTTTCTAAAGAATAGCTGGAATCTCGCACACCTTTCAGGATATTTTCTTCATAATTATTTGTCATGACTGGTATAACTTCAGACACTTCAAAAAGTGCCGATTTTTTCTTCTGAAAGAAAAAATGCTACATTAACCCAATGGTAGTACACTATCTTTTAAGTCTCAATTGACATAGCAATGCTAAATGCATTTATTCTAATTCAGCAAAATTCTTAACTGTCTAAAGTAATCTTCCCCCTGAAAATACAGAGTTTCAGATAGGCTGATCCTTTGTACCACTCTCCTTTACCCACTACACAAATAAGCTACAGTCAGAATTCTAAACTTCCCAGTTTCATAGGGCAAACATCAGACACTCTTAAAGTTAAAAAATAAAAATCAATGATGTAGTCTTGATGCAAGTCTACTTAAATGGTTCTACATACAACTAAATTAAAGCCTCAAAAGTTTAAAAAAAAAAAAAAAAGCAGCAGCAGCAATTCAGACAAGTTGGTTATTTTACTCCTTATATGGTTCAATCTCCATTTCTCTTCCTGGATATTATATAACCATTTAAGTGTCAATATTTGAAAGGAAAAAAGAATTCTACCAAAGTTGAGTTACAAAATTAGGCAAGACCAAGAGCCAAGAGTCATCATCGACCTAAACCTGTAAAATTCTATACTGTGGAGTATAACCCAAAAAACCAAACTCACTGCTGTCCAGTCGATTCCGACTCACAGCAACCCCTCCTTGGATTTCCAAGGCGAAATTTCTACAGAAGTAGATTGCCTAGTCTTCCTTCTGAAGAGTGGCTGGGGGGTTTGAACTGGCAGCCATCTGGTTAGCACTCAAATGCCTTAGGCATTACATCACCAGAGCTCCCTAGTATAGTCATGAACTAATCATGGTAACTGCCCAAATACTGTGCATTCACAGAATAAATCATTTCCAGTGTTAAAAGAACTAGATGGTACAACCTGGGACATCTTCTAGATTGAATTCAAAGATCTAGTCTAACCACTTCCGTCTTGGAATTGTTTTCTAGTGAACCTATAACACCTTCAATTAAAATCTGATCCTATCCATTTTGCAGTCACCTTGTTTTATTAGAAAAGAGAGAAAATGGGGAAAGTAAATCCTTGGTACAATCTGATTTTGTTACAATCACTTCAAAACAAATCATTTTTAAAGCCACTTTGCACTACTGTATTATCAGTTATTATCAGTTAAGAATGTTCCTAAATTCAAGTAACCTTTGAGGTAAAAGTGAAGTAAAAACCTGGGAAACTCCCACATACTAAGTATATACCATACTAAGATTGTATTTCTGATCTGAAATCAGCTCACAAGTGCAAAAATAAAAGTAGCACTTCCTTAAATCATAATCTAATGTGAAGTCATATAGCTTGGTTGATTATCTTATACACTGTCCACTTTAAGTTGAAATAAAATTACTCTTTACTTAGATCATGCTCTCCTTGACTATTGACAACTATTTGCTACTAATTGTAAAACTAATTCTAAGAGCTAGAAAAAAAAAAAAAAATTAAACTTCCTGTTTAGGACATTTTGAATTTTTAAAAATTCTAAATACCAATTAATCATTACAGTACTTAGGTGTTCTAAAAATGAAAATGTACTCTATTTAGTTATGTATTCCATGAAAAAAATGGTACTTAATCATGGAGTTGAAAAAACAGGCTCACAACAGCACATAAACATTTTGATTCCAATTTACCACTTCCAAACAAGCTATTTATACTTTAATGTGGCAATCTTTAACTACAAAGTTCCCAATGTTATTTCACACAAACTAAATTTTTACAATGTTACCCACCCAAGTTAATTAAAAATGGACCCTAAGCTTTAGAATTAAGTATTTTCAAACCAATTAGTACTCAATGCACTTCCATTCAATTGTACTCAATCCACAGAATTAGGTAGCCTTGAGACACAATATACATATTAGACTTTTTCAAGCACTCATTAACCTAACATAGTTACTTAAGAGTAACAGATAACTCAGTAATATGAGTTTACAATAATCACTTGTGCTAATTCACATTTTAAGAACTTTAAATTACCTTCTCCTTGAATACAAAGGCAATATACATCTTGAAGTCAAACTGGTCAGCTAGAGATTCTTTTTTCTTTCTAAGCTGAGCACGTAGTCTGTTCAGAGCTTGTTTCTTCCGGGAGTTTGGGTCCCCCATTTTGAAATATAGGTGGTACTAAAAGCCTTTGGAAATTGTCACTAAACTAGGGGCACTTTTTCTTAAGACTCAAGTACAACAGAAACAAGTCATTTTTTTTTTTCCTGCTAATATGACTGAATAGCTAAAATCACGACTGTAACCCAAAAACTGCACCTTCTGGCAATATTAGCAAACTGTCATATTACAGGGTCAAGAAACAAAAGCTGCTGTCCAGTCATGTTTGGACAATAACGTTTGGGGTCAGATAGGAAAAAGGAAAGGGAATAAGGAAAGAACGAGAAGGAAAACGATTGAACTAACTTTTTGGAAAATACATCTGGCTTAACTACCAAAATAAAGGCTTTGGGGGAAAATGAAAAGCCTATTATCAGGATTTAGGTGTGCAATAAAACACAGCTGACACCAGTCCAAAAATCCTTAAAATCCATCCGGATTTTTTCCCTCTTTATAGAAAAGGGTTATGAAAGGGAACAGGGAAGGGGGAACTGTAATCCTTCCTTTCCAAACACAAAAACAAAAAAGCAAAAACAAAACACCGTAACAGGGTAGGTGAATGAAACTGAAATATCCAATTGGATTTTACCCAGCCAGATCCATGGCTGTAGTACCTAATTAATTCTTAGTTATTTCAGATTTCACTATTGCTATATATTGTCAGTGCTTGTTATTGACTACAATTGGTGGTGAGCAAAGAGAAAAGTGCAAAATCGATAGAGAAGGAAGGGAAGAGGTACAGGGATTCCCTGCAATCAACTACAGTGTATACCGGGGGCGGGCAGCTGTTGCCCAAAGGAGCCATGAGACTAAACAGCGGAGTCATTACCAACTTCCCCATTACCCACATTTTCACCCTCAGGCGGCTGCTAATGCTGCTGCCAAGGAGAATCATGATGGCAGAGGGAAAGAGGGTATATAATACGATATAATTATTATTCCGGCTCTGTGGTTAGACCTGATTAATGCCCGGGATCCCAACACCCCCAGCCCTGCAATAAGTCCTACATTCCCCAAAGAATCCTTCCTCTATGAATTTGCCCCCGTGCAAGATGGTGGGTAGTGCGATTTATCTTCTTGTGAGCATTGCTGAGGCAAAGGTGGCGGGTTGTTCTCCCAAATTCCAGGCAGTGCCCGGGACCACCTGCCTTCCACCCTCCAGGTCCCACCCCCACCCCCTGCCTTCAGCGGCAGCGACTCACTCGCACCACGGGAGACACAGGATCACTCAAGTTTTCACTCATTTCATCGTGGAAACAATTCCCACCCGGGTAGAGTAGGCGGGAGAGGGTAAAATCAATGGGAACAAAGGAAAATAATCGTGTTAATATTAATTACTTTTTAGAAGTTGGGCCCACCCCCAAAAAAAGAAAAAAATAAGATCCCGGATTCCAGATTAGCTCTCTCACGTTGAACAGACCATGTTTCCGAGTTTGGATTGTTTGGGGTGGGGTCGTTAAATTTCCCGAGGAGGCAGGGGGTGGAACTGAGGCAGTTGGGGCGGGGGTGGGTGACAGGGAAATCCTTCCCTGTCCCCGCGAAGACCGGGACTCACTGACCGACACTCGGGCGGGGTTCGGACCCTCTAGCCGCAGCCTGCTGGCGGAGCGGTGGCGGCGGCGGAAGAGGCGGCGGCGGCGGGGGCGCTGCTCGCAGCACGGGCAGGAGCCATGTCAAGAGAAAACCACCAGCCAACTGAGCCCCTCCATCCCCGCTGCAGTGCGCACTGTAACCGGGCCGCCTGCGCTGCTGCCGCCGCTCAGCCCCCACCTGGGACCCATAGTCTGGCTCGGCGCCCCGGGCGGCGGCAGAGAGGAAGGACGCGGTGGCAGCGGCGACAGGGAGAGAAAGAGAAGAGAAGGGAAAATGAGGAGAAGGGGGGGGGTAGGAGTGGTATTGGCTGCGAGGGGGAGGGGAGAAAGGGGAAGGGAGACCTGCACTACGGGATCTGTCAGCGAAGTAAACCCCCCAAAATAGTTATTTCAGTTCAAGCATCTGCTCTTGAGTCTTTCTTCCCCCCACGGTCGAGCTCCGGCTCTCAGCAAAGAAGGTCGACGAGACACGGAGGGGGGAAAAGCCGAAGCGGATGGTGAGCTTCTGCGGTGGCACAGCCTCGTTCCCCCCCACCGGTGGCTGCGGAAGCGGCGGCGACCTCGGCACCTCCAGGGTCCGGGGCAGAGTCGCGTTTCAGAAAAGAAGCAAGAACAAACAACTTAAAATGGCAGCGACGGCGACTAAGTCACCCGCCCCTCACCGGCACCGCCCCGAACCCTCTGCGGCTGCGCACGCCGCGGGTCTCCACCATCTACACTTGAACAAAGGGGAGAAAGACTGGAAGGAAAGAAGATTTTCATGGTTATTAAGGATAAAGGAAAGAAGAGGAAGAGAAGAGTATTCAAAAACCCCTTAAAAGGCTGCATCTCTGAAGTTCAACTTTTTAAATAATACGCCTTCCTCAAAGGGGAGTTTAGGAATAGACACTGTCCTCTCCTCCACTAAGGCGTTCCTATGGGGAGGGGAAAGGGGCTCCCCGCCACTCCCTTCGCCCCTCGGTCAGGATGTCCCAGTCTGTTAGGTTGGCTCCTCGCCACCTCCCCTAGTGACGTCATAAACCACGCCCTTCTCCCTTCCCCGACACAGCACCCGGATGGAATCGTCCTTTCCAATTTGTCAGCCTGTGGGGTTTTGGGCTGCTCCGGGGACTGAAATGAGGAAGGCGAGCAAGGCGGGCCCAGGCCGGGAAGTGGGCAGAGAGTGGGAGAGGATGGGGGCGGAGTGAAGGAGGAAAAAGAAAGTGTGTTGGCAGGTTTGTGGGAGAAGATTCTCAATTCACTTCGTTATGGTTATATTCCTATACCACTGATTGGTAGTCCTTCTGGAGGCCTGCCCTGGAGTATTTTGAGTGGACAAGCTGCAAATTCAGTTCCAATACTTGGAATGTAAATGACGTGTAGCAAAATATGTCTCATGTTAGTCCCTCTGGCTCCCTGTCCCAGTCTTGCCACGTGTGTGCAGACTGCGAGGGTGATGTTCAAGTTTTGAACAAGGTCTAAGTAGTAGCTACAAAAGTCGGGTCACTCAGTGTGATAACCCCCCAGGCCCCAGTGGACCTCCTTCCATAGCAGACACTACAGAATCTCTAGTAATGTTTATTGACAATTTTAATAATAACGTGATAAAAAAGATAGTTGTAAATTGCCTAAACGTAATATTTCTTAGATCATATGAATACTAACAACAAATTGGAGCTCTAGTGGAGCAAAATTGTTTTGTAAAATCTTTCCACATTGAATTACAACATTTTTAGTAACTGAATGGAAGCTTTTTTTGTTTTCTCCTTTTTCTTTAGGTAGTACTTCATTCTTAAAAAAGGTACTGAGGTAGGTTCACTAATACTGCTTACCATGATATTGTAGCTAAAATACCAGAAAATCTGACAAAATCAGCGGCTATAAAAATACCAGCAGCAACCAAAACAACATTGTAAGGCTGCAGATGAAACCACTAAATACTACCATCATTGTAATTAGGTGCTAATGAGCACTGTGACCCCTTACAAAACCAAAAAACCAAAATCCACTATCATCCAGTCTATTCTGACTCATAGCAAACCCCTTGGGGATTCCAGTGCCATAAATCTTTAAGGAGCTCTGGTGGTGTAGTGCCTAAGGCATTTGACTGCAAACTAGAAGATTAGTGGTTCAAATTCACCAGCCACTCTGTGAAAGGACTGCTGGGCAATCTATTTTCCTAAAGATTTATGGCCTCGGAAACCCCAAGGGGGTCTCTATGAGTCAGAATCCACTGGATGGTAGTGGTTTGGGGCTTTGTAAGCGGTCAGAGCTCTCATTACCACCCAAGTGGATTCTGACTCAATGTGACCCCCTTGGGGTTTCTGAGGCCATAAACCATTAGGGAAGTAGATTGCCCAGTCTGTCTTCTGTGGAGTGGCCGGTGGGTTTGAACCACCACCTTCTGGTTAGCAGTCAAGTAAGTGTCTTAGGCACTACACCACCAGAGCTGCCTCAGAGCTCCGTCCAAAACCAAATCCAAACTCACTGCCGGGGAGTTGGATCCGACTCATAGCGACCCCTCCTTGGGTTTCTGAGGCAGTATCACTACAGAAGCAGAGTGCCCAATCTTCCTTCCGAGGAATGGCTGGTGGGTTTGAACTGCCAGCCTTCTGGTTAGCAATCAAATCTCTTAGGCACTGTGCCACCAGAGCTCCTTAGAAGGTTCAAAAAGTAAATTAGCATAGAGTTTTAGACTCGTAGGTATATCAATACATGCAAGCTGGACTTAAAAAGAACATATTTGTTGTAACTAGCTACCAAAATATTTTATAAAGATAATAAAATTCTGCTGAAACACTGAACAAAAAGTTGACAGACAATCATTTTGATGACACCTCTGACAATGTTACCTGGTGTGGTAGAGACAACCCCATCCCTCTAGTGATGCCATTGAATGATGCGCTGCAGCCCACTAACTAGCTCATTTTGCTGCTGTGACTTCTGGGCAAGGCTCCAACCAGTTCACTCCAGTTCAACCCCCTGCTGAAAATTTGCATTTCAACCTCACAGGTACTGAATCAGAATCAAAGTGAACTGCCCAGGAGTTTTCAAGGAAGGAAGATGGAGCAATCTACTTCCATAAAGATTCAGCGCCTCAGAAACCCAGTGGGGTCACTATGAGTCAGAATCAACTCCACAGCAGTGAGTTCGGTTTTTGGTTTTTAATCTTTATGGAAGGAGACTGCCATATCTTTTTCTTTCTTCCCTGGAGCAGCTGGTGGGGTCTAACGATCCACAATTCGGTTAACAGCTGAGCTCTTTACCACTGCATCACCAGGGCTCTGTAAAGATTAAAACCACATCCAAACCCATTGTCCTCTAGTCGATTCTGACACATACTGACCCAATAAGAGAGAATAGAACTGCCCCCACAGGGTTTTAAAAGCTAAAAATCTTCATTCCCGCAGAGCAGGAATTATAACTGTAGGGTTGTAACTTCAGCCAATTGCTTTAACCACTACACCACTAGGACTCTTCCTGTAAAGTTCTACTCTGTCTATAGGGTTGTTATGAGTCAGAATCAACTCTAAAGCACACTACAATCAACTTTCTGTTTCTATGTTGTTGTTAGGTGCTGTGGAGTAAATTCCAACTCATAGCAACCCTGTGTACAACAGAATGAAACAAAGCCAGGTCCTGCACCATCAAAATCCTTGCTACGCTTGAACCCATCATTGAGGGGCTCATCTTCCAGCACCGTATTAGACAATTTTCACAAAGTTTTCCAGTAATAATATATCAGACAGTAGTTCACTGCTATTCATAAGGTTTTCACTGTCCAAATCTTTCTGAACTGGATGATCCCTTCCTTGGTCCAAATCTATCTTAGTCTGGAAGCTCTGCTGAAACCTGTCCACCGTGGGTGACCCTCCTGGTATTTGAAACACCAGTGGCACAGCCTCCAGCCTCACAGCCATATGCAAGCCACCACAGTACAACAAACTGACAGATGAGTGGTGGT